ATTTATTACATATTAAGTTTATTAAATTTTTCCAATATTTATTGGATTTTGAAAAAAAAAATTTCGTTCATGATTCAAACTTATTATGCAAATTGAGATTAACTATACGTACGATCGAACGTAAAAAAATTATAATCAAAATGTACTTTAGCGTTTGCCTCTTTTTTCACCCCCTTTAATACATATTAAATTTATTAGATTTATCAAATAACTATTGGATTTTGAAAAAGAAAAGTTTGTTCATGATTAAAACTTATTCTGCAAATTGAGATTAACTGTACGTTTGATCGAATGTAATAAATTTAAAATGAAAATGTACGTTTGAGTGAAAGTTGACTGTACTTTAACGTTTGACTCTTTTTTCATCTCATTTATTACATATTAAGTTTATTAAATTTTTCCAATATTTATTGGATTTTGAAAAAAAAAATTTCGTTCATGATTTAAACTTATTATGCAAATTGAGATTAACTATACGTACGATCGAACGTAAAAAAATTATAATCAAAATGTACGTTTAAGTGAAAGCTGACTGCACTTTAACGTTTGCCTCTTTTTTCACCCCATTTAATAAATATATTAAGTTTATTAAATTTTTGTTTGTTTATTACATTTTTTTTCGTTCATGATTAAAACTTATTATGAAAATTGAGATTAACTATACGTACGATTGAACGTAATAAATTTAAAATCAAAATGTACGTTTAAATGAAAGCTGACTGTACTTAAACGTTTACCTCTTTTTTAACCCCATTTAAATACATATTAAGTTTATTTCACTTTTATTTGAAATCTATATATAAAAAAGTAACATACTAAGGGTTCGTATCAATCCATTTGCGGCGGCACACGTCCAGTACGTGCTGGGAACTGATCGGGGTGGCTTTTTTTTCTCTATTTTATTCATTGCACCCTTCGCGCGAACAAATGACTCGCTAAGCGGCGGTCGATTTTTGCCGACCAAAAATCACATTTTAATAGCACATTTCCAGTACGGAATACTAATAATAATGTAACAGAAAAAAAGAGGACGTGGGAAAGTATGTGACAAATAAAAAAAAAGAAATCGGATGAGATTTGCGGGTGGAAATTAATTCCGGAAAAGAGATAACAATTTGCGGGACACGCGACCCTTAATCCCCGGATCCGAATTAATTGGGTCTTAGTATCTCTGTGTTTAATTTTTTCCATCTTATAAACGAGGGTGAAGAGGCTTTCATTGCGATAAGCTGAGTGAAAATAAAAAGGGGTGACAAGTGAAGCTACCGGTTCCAAACTCGTTGTTGTTTCAGCTAAAATATTTTACACACTAATCTTATCGCTTTTCCTTCCAAAAAAAAATAATAAATTGTGGGTTCAATTTTCTTGGTATTTTGTGATAAGGAAGGCGACCGCACGTCTGCAAATTGAATATCTCCAACAGCTTTGTTTGTTTTGCATTGAGATGGGCACTTGTGCTTAATATGATAACAATGGGTTTATTGTGACGTTTTCCCTATGGTAATCTGGGGTGAACTGATGGGTGGAGGGGTGACTCCCAGAGATGACACTTCTGGTATAATACTGCAAACGGATTCCCATGTCACCATTCGCTCGTGTGATTCGATTAATATGTTTTAATCCCATTTTCCCATCACACACTCATTTAAATCTAATTCGCATTGATATTCACTATTTAACTAAATGATTAAAAATACCAATGAATTTTGGTGTAAATTAATTCTTAAATCAATAAATCTAGGTGGCTCCCACTTGACAGTTAACAAAAGTTAAGAAACGTGTGCAATGGATGGTTTTTTTAAGTACGTTTTGTAAAATGTTTATAAATTAACTAAACACTTTAAAATGTCATTTTAAATCATTTGAGTCAATAATTTTATAAACAATTGACTTTAGTTTTTATTAACTTTCGTCAGGTGTCACGTACTCACAACGTTACAAAAGTTAAGCAATTTTTGACGTTGATCTTATTTAAATTGGTGATAATTTTAGCAACTAATTAATATTAATACATCTATTTCCTTTGAATTGAATTAATAATATGAAATTCAATGGAAATCTTCAACATTATTGGAAAAAATTATACTATAATTTTAAGTCTTGTTTTTTTTAAATTTATTTTTATTTTAATTAATTAAAATTTATTTTGTTTTGACATTTTCAATCCGGACTATAGTGAATCACCACTGATCAAAGTAAATTTAAGAAATACCAGAAGTATAAAATACAAAAAACTTTAATGATTATTTCAATATAAACTTGTAATTATTGAATAAATTATTAAATATTAATTACATCTTCACATATTCATTGATGTATTAAAATTTATAGGAATTCTAACATATTTTTTTTATAATCTTAACTTTATTATAAAGAAATAAAATTTGCAGGACTTTCTTCAATTTGTTTAATTGGTTGCATAATTCAATAATATATTAACATGTAAATTTCTAAAGTAAAATTGTAACAAATATGAATTTCAATTCATAGTTTATGAAATAAATCTCAGCAATTACTGTAAATTATATAATTTCAACGATATTAATACATTTTGAATGGTTTCAATAATATGAGTAAAAGTTCTATTTCATTAATTTTATAGCAGTTATTATTTTAAGAAACAAATCAAAGAAATGTATATATTTTTTAATTAGATTTGATGCTGTATGAACTACACAATAATATTCATATGTTTGAAATGGTTTTAGTGGTTGGAGAGTGTGAAATTCGTGAGTGCTAAAATTTGTTTCTGGTCGGAAATCGATTTTCTCGCGCCGCCAGTTTCCCTTGTCAAAACTGACTTCCGGACAAATATACCTGCAAGGGTGCGATAAGGGCTGAAACCGCCCCCTTTCCAACAAACCTTCTCTCGCTTACACACATGGATGAACCTCTTGTTGCGCATTTGCAGTCAGCCCCCTTCGGATAGAGAAGGGGAGGCTACATTTCCATTCATTGCACTCACTCTACTAATAGCAACATACTGCTCACTAATAATATACGCAATTTCACTATCCTTAGTTCTGATTCTATATGCAATTATTCAATTCCAGATAACTTAATGAATCTGACAGAACACGTTCGAAATTTAAAAAATTTGCTTTATTGAAATTCTAATGAAATTTTAAAAAGTTTACCTAAAATGATACTAAATATGTGCATATTTTATAAAATGTTAATCATTTTCCAACTTGAATTAATTGAATATTAGGTAAATTAATTTAAGATTTCTATGTGTTAATACCTAAATAAATAAAAGAGTAAAACGATGGTAATTTATTTCCCAAAAATAATGTGTTTTGCATATATATTATAATTTCAATCTAATTGAATAAAAAGTTAGGAAAAGAGGAAGAAAAAAGAACACAGATTTTAATGTAAATATAGAACATTTACAAATGATTATATGTATGTATGTATGTATATATATATATATAAAATTTAAAATCACAACCATCATTTGAAATCACTCCCGAAGAAAACTGTCTGGAAATATCACTGAAATGCGAAGAGCATGACGAGAATTGGAACCGAGAGAATGCAGACAACGTAAACGGTGGTCCTCGGTTCGCACACCGAAACCACAACGTACTCCTGATTCCACAGATCCTGATCATCTTTTATAGGCAACTCCATGACCAGTTTCTCGTCGGAGAAGAACTTCAAATCCATCGCGCATTGTTCGGTGCTGTTGGAGCATTCCGCCACAGGATTTGTAACATCATAAACTGTCTTCTCGATGTGGAAATTAACGCGGATGTAATTGGTCTGCACTTCGTTTTCGCTGTTGAAGACGAAGAAGTAATAACCGTTCGTCGGGACTCTGAAAGATGAATTAATTTTGTTTAACGTGTTAAAGTTGGATGAGATGACTTACTTGTACGTGATTTTATTTGCTAGATATGCGGCTTCGATTTCCTGATCCGAGAGGTCTTTTCTGCAATGCGTGTGAGGTGTTAACGGTAGATTTAAGATCAAACCTGCGCAATTGAGCAAAGCCTCTTCGGAGGAGCTGAACGAGGACCAAAACTCGCTGTTGCTCATATCGTTTAGAGTGGTTTCGTTGAGGGTGGCGTGATGATCAGCTATACCATCAGGAATGAAACCCTGCCAAAAAATTTAAAGATAAATTTAAACTATAATTAGCGGTGTTATTATGTTTTTTTGTTTTACCTCTTCTTGCGCTAAATCTTTATCTTCCTCATCTTCGTTGAGGATGGCCGCTGTTTCCAAGATAAGTTCACGTTTTCTCCTTCTGGCTCTGTCGATGTTATCATCGAATTGCACCGCAGGTTTCTGGTAATGTCTTCCTCGGATGCTGAGAACAGGGTCGGATGGATTCAAAGAGTTGTCGTTCATCTCTTGCACGTTTTTCCGATCGTTGAATCTATCGTTCAACTTATCGAGGATTGAGGCACCTTTGTTGCCCAATCCGTGCAGTTTGCTCAACACGTCGTGCACGAATTCCTCCGAGTCCGTGCCGTTCCTCGGACCAGCATTTTCAATCTGCAAATTACCGAGTTCGTCTTTGGCTATCGTCGAATTCCTGTGGACGTGAGCGTGCGGTTTCTTCGTTGTCGTTGCTACCATCTTCGGTGGAGTCTTGGCTTTCAGCATCTCGAGGATCTTCTTCATCAACTTGGGATCCGTGACGTCCGTCGTATCCAATTCTTCACCTTCCAACGTGTGATTCGTACCGTTCGTCGCGTGTAAAGGATGATAGAATTGCACGTCTTCGCGATGCCTCTTCATCATGTCCGGTGTGTTCGGTGGTTGTCCGATGGATGAACTATTCGTATACTTATAAGTGCCTTCCCTGATTGCAGCCATCATCTCATCCAGTTCTTCAGAGGAATTGTCACCGATGTACGCGCATTCGTGCAGATGCTTGTGTCCTCTGATTACAATAAGTGAAGCCCCAGGCCATCTGAAATATTTAAACAAAAATGTACCAATTATATAAAAAAAAATCGTTGTTGTTTTATAAAGCCATAATACACAAAATTAATCTACATTAATATTGGAAATTTGGTGAATATAAAGAGTATTTATTTCTAATATCAGTTATCATTTGTAATCAACTATGACGTAATGACAAAACATCGCAGTTCGACGAGAGATTAACGATCTTTAAAACTACTATGAAAATATTATTTGTTCTAATCTGAATCCTATAGAATCGAGACTTGTTTACAATCTGACTATTAGTATTTATCCTGTTTACAGACTAATCCTAGTACAGATTAATTCATACAGTCATTCATATAAGAAATATCAATATTGAATGGTAAATTTAAGAATGAATCCATTCATTATTAGTTTAAGAGCAAATAAAAGAGAAACAAGAGATCCTGTAGAGGCATTTGGTTAGTTGTAATTTTGTGATTAAATTGAATCAATATTGGTTATCTAAAAAGCATTTGGAGACTATGTGAATGTAGTTATTTGCTAATGCTTGTGTATCCGCAAATTCTGTTATCGATGATTGTTAACCTGGTCGGAGGCTTTGATCCTGGCCGACGCATTTCACTGACCTCACGCAGCTGGAGAGCGTGACCGTGGAGCCGCGCAAAAGGTAGAAACCCCAGTACTCTTTGGTGTCGTCCTCCAGATTCAGATGTCTGACCATCGACATCGGTTTGCTCTTCATCGAGATGGTCGGAGACTCTGGTAGAAGGAAAGCGTTGAAGGTGGCATTGGTCTTGACCAGTTGTCTCTACAAAAATTGAATGAAAAAAAAAATAATAAGTACAAGATAATTTAAAACCAATCGAGTTCAATACTTGACACCAAGTCGTCGAGATCCTGTTATCTAACATCCTCATATCAGATACGGCCAAAGGATACATCTGCTCCACGTAGACCCTGTATCTCATGTACAGGGTGAGCGAAAACAGGAAGCAAGGCACCAGGATACCTAAAATGCATAACCTGACGACCCTGAAAGGTCCTTTGAACTTCTCCTTCTTCGGGGCGCTCAGCGAATTCTGCCGCTTCGTCAGAGGCCTCTCTACAATCAGAAAATCAACAATCATCATCATCATCATACCGCCAAACAACCGTTCATCTATCTATTCAACTCAGATAAACACCGTTTAAGTGGATAGTTTTTATGACTTACAAACAGCGGAAAATTTTCACCAAATAAACGTTTTTTTTTTGGTTCGTTTGATGAAAACAAATACAATAAGCATGGTCAAATATTTGTGCTCGGCTTTCGAGCAGCATCGTCTACTTTATCGTAACGCAAATTATCATGGAGCAATTAAAATGACGCTAATTGATCCAAAAAAAAACTTTATATTGATTCTGTAACAGCAGATAACGCCAATCTTTACAGAGAATCGCGTCAACGTTGATGGTTGAAAACCATGGAAGAAACACGCTCAAAACAGAATAAAAAATACGCACACAACAATAATTTCAAACTAAACGAAAAGTACTTAATATAGTCGTAACGCGTGCAAAGTTACATAAGAATGATGATTTTACTAAAGGTTCAAAAGTCCAAAAATAATTAATAGCGTCGCATTTTTTTTCGAATTACAATTACAAAATGTTCGATATTTTCTTATTTATTTTTTCACTGAATATTTCTTAATATGTAATTATTAAGATTCTAAACTAAACTAAATTTTTAAATGTTCTTAGTTCTAATAATTCTCTATATTTAATTAACTTAAATTCAAAACATATTGAAAATTCCCAATGAAATGAACATTTCTTATTATTGAATTGAAATTTTCATATTCTGAGCACATGATGTTTTAAATATTTGATATTTTCCTAACTAACTAAAAATTTATTATAAACAATTCTATATTTCTTCATGTACGATTTTGCGAAAATACATATTTATAATTGTTATTATCTCATTTATTTATTGGTGCAAAGTAAACTGAAAGTTGATAATGAAATGAAAATTTGCAAACATTCGACAAGTTCATCAATGAAATATCATAGAATTCACTGACGTTGTCAAATTTAATTTCAATATCAGAGAAAATTGAATTGCCAAAGTATATTTTCTGTAAATTATAATTTCTACATACTTTACTTAAAAAACTTTATTATTGGTTATACAAAGTAGATTTTTGAAGAAACAAAAAAAAGATTTGACATATACTTAAAACAAAGAGGCTATGATTCAATAGTAAACAATTGGAAATGTACATGATTCATATATCGTAACACATTTACAGTGCCGGTGCTATGGTGCTATGATGCAAAGAGGCAATCGCACTAGGTAAGTCATCAGTAAGTGATTTCACATTTTAGTAATTTTCACTAGAACTATAATAGTTACAATGAAAAATACCTATAAAAGCTGGATGCTTGGGGAATCTAGCAAGTATTCATACAATGCTGTGGTTTCGTCCATTTGGTTGTTTTTCGCGTTCAAAGTTAAAAGAAAAAATGAAAAATTAACGTTCGAAAATAGATTTAATGAATCCAAAAGTGTTTATGAAAGCTGAATGTTTGAAAAATATAGTGAGTATTCATACATTTCTGTGGTTTCATTCACGTTTCATCACAGGGTCGTTTAAATCCACCTTTTTGACCTCACGGACCACTAAACTCGAAATTTTTAATCCCGCGGATCACTACTATTAAAAAAAAATAAGATTCTAAATATGAAATAGTATTTACATTAGGCCTTTTATAAAAACGTAACTTAATAATGTGAAAATAACCTCTCGTCCATGGAAAGTCCATTGGTTTAAATGACGTTTACAAAACTGCTTTTCAATAATTGAATAAATTACATTGTTTAGGTAAGTTTCCTTCAAATTATTAGTTTCCAAATCTACGCGCTTTGCTTAACACCTCTGTAGTTGAGTTGTTTATTAGTTATTACTTAAAAACAGGAGTTCCCAATCCTGTTTCAACATCAATCATTTTAGAAGAAAAAATGTTTTCAATCCACCCCTAATGCATTTTTTTTTTCTAAATCAATATACAATTTATATTAAGTACGCTTTTATCCTTGGTTTATATAACAATTTTCATTGATTCGATAAATATTTTTTTCCAACTAAATACTTTAATTTAAATATGTTTATACATTGATATAATAGAATAATTTCATAGAAATTAAATAGAAGTTACATTTCGTAGGTTTTCAATGAAAGAGTCGATGAAAAATAATTGCAATACAATAACAAATTGTTCGCTTTTGTTTATCGTTTCTGATAGCAACGTCAACAATTTCATTTTACGACTGGAAAATAATTGCGTTTAAGTATCTATAAAATTGGAACAACAATAAAAAAATAATCAATTAAATTTCGCTAAAAAAAATTTGTTAAAAAGTAATGAAAAATAAAAAGTTTTTTTTAACCAATTTGCAAATATCTAAATTAGAGCAAAAATGAAACGAAACTGATTACAGTATACAAAAAATAACGACGAAAAAAAAAATAAATGTCATTGACATTGTTGGATTGTCGGATTAGCGACAATTACTGAATTGCCTTTTGATTACGTTCGCCAATCAATCGATATCGTTTAAAGAAACCGCACATTTCAATATCTGCATTGATTATCTCGAATTAGATAGAAAGTCATTATCTTAAATGGCCATCAACTCGAAATTAATTTGTAGCAATTTGTATTAGATGTGTCCCGTTTCAAAATTTTTCATATCTCCACGTGAAATTTTACTAACCAAAATCCAATGTTTTGGACGACATCCAATATGATTATTTAGAACAAACAACATCTGCATAAATGTTGAAGTCTTCTGGCGACGATAAAGATTAGCAGAAATAAACAGCGTAAAGGGAAAAACAAATATTGTTTTCAATATAAAATCCGAGCGAAAGAAAATATTTAAATTTAGATTAAAGCTTTTTATCTTTTGCAGAATTATATATATTTATTTATATTATTATTTTTTTTGGCAACTCGAATTACATCATCGCGATTCTCGATGTGGATTAGAAATTTATCTGAGAGTTATCGGGATATTCGAAAAAAAAAATTGTTATTGTTGTGCGGAGTAAATTCTCTTCGAAATTCGGCGCGGATCTGAACGCAACTTCCGCAATGGATTATTAAGTTACCACGCAGAAACCTTGAACGTAATATTAGAAAAGAGAGACACAAAAAAATATACATATGTGTGTTTACGTTTATCGTTTGCGAGGAGAAAACGTGTTTAGAGAATCCGCCGGATTAGGCGTTTTGTGTTGTTTCTGTATCATCGTCTGGTGTACGCACAATTCGTTGAACTTTCCTTTCGTCGACAACAATTATTACTATGTGGTTTTAAAATTAAGCGAATTAAGTTTGTAACGGGTTTATGCAGTTCTGGCTATTTTTACTTATCTACATTCATATGTATATTATTAGTCTTTTTTACAAAAGTCTTTGTCTTGCCAAGATCTGTAGTATTTCCTACTTTCTGGCAAATTCAACTTAACTCGAAACACGTGTATATATGTATATATTAAGGTGTATATACACACATGAGACCAAAGAGAGCTGCAATCCGGCTTTGTAAAGAGAGCCGCATGCGACTCTCGGAGCCGCATTTCACCATAGTAAGTGTGTACTAGGAATGTTTCACTATTTGTAATATAAAAAAATACAAAGTTTAGAAATCAATTTATTTAAAATCAATTGATCTCATATAAATGTCCACAAATTCATTTTGCCTCTATGATTATTCCGTTTTAATATCAGTATTTAAACATAATGATAGTCATTTTGTATTGGAAGATATTTACAAAAATATGAGATCATTGCTTTTTCAAGGTTTCAAATTTCATAAAAACAGTCAAGTTCACATAAATTCAAATAAACTGTATTAATTCCTTCATTATTCAGCTTTAATATCAATATTCATAGTTGATTATAATCCTATTGGATCTCAAGATATTTAGAAAAACGTAGAGGTATACAATATTCTAACTTGAAAATTAAAAATGAAATCAAATTACTCTAAATTACAAATCATATATCAGTTTTAATTTCTACGCACTTTGCTTAATAACTATATAGTTATTTTAGCAATAGCCGAAATGTAGAGCTATTACTTAAAAAAAGGGATTTCCAACATTTTTCTACATCATTTATTTCATATCAATTTATTAAAAATCTATTGGTCTCACATAAATGCCCATAGATTCGTTTTGATTCAATGATTATTCAGCTTTAATATCAGTATTCAAGTATGATGATAGTCATTTTGTATTGGATGATATTTACAAAAATGTGAAAGCATTGCTTTACCAAGATTTCAAATTTCGGTTAACGAAATTCAGATTCAAATTTCATAAAAACAATCAAGTTCACATAAATTCAAATAAACTATAGCAATTTATTGATTATTTGGCTTTAATATCAATATTCATAGTTGTTTATAATGCTATTGCATCTCAAGATATTTAAAAAAACGTAGAGGTCTAAAATGTTCTAACTTGAAAATTGAATTTGAAATCAAATGACTTCTGAATTACAAATAAATTGCTTTGTTTAGACAAGTTTCCTTCATATATTAGTTTTAAATTCTACGCACTTTGCTTAATTGCTCTGTAGTTATTTTAGAAATAGCTGAAATGTAGAGCTATTACTTAAAAACAAGGATTTCCAACATTTTTCTACATCATTCATTTGATATAAATTTATTAAAAATCTGTTGATCTCATATGAATGCCCATAGATTCAGTTTGATTCAATGATGATTCAGTTTTAATATTAGTATTCAAATATGATGATAGTCATTTTGTATTGGAAGATATTTAGAAAAATGTCGAAGCATCGAAAAAGCAGACATCAAATTTCATAGAAACAACCAAGTTCACATAAATTCAAAGAAACTGTATTAATTCCTTCATTATTTAGCTTTAATATCATTATTCTTATTTGTTTATAATCCTATTCTATCTGAAGAAATAATATCTGAATATATTTAGAAAAACGTAAATGTATAAAATGTTGAAACTTGAAATTTAAAATTGAAATCAAAGTGAACTACAAATCATAGATATGTTCATATGCGAGTAATTGGTATTAAAAAACTAAACATCTGTGACCTAATTATAACATGTAAACTAACAAGTAAAATTGATATGTTTACAGTGTCTTAAGCTTACATAACGAAACGTAAAGTTTTTAGATATATTCAAACTATTAAACACACATACAAAAAATACAAAAACTGGTTTATAATAACAACAAAAATAGAAAATGGCAAGGTTGTCGGGAATTAATTATCAAGTAGCAAATAAATATATAACTTATTTTAGAGACTGATCTTCTTAGACTCGAAGCGAAATCGTTAATGTATCGTTAAACTGTTATCTTGTTGTCTGAAAACTAAAGTTTTCTTCAGGTCACGGTCGCAATTCGTATACAACAATAAACAAAACAAAAACAAAACTAATTATCTAAAGAATATAATTGAAGGAAAATAATGAAATTGTTGCTATGAACAACTAAGTAACAAAATTTTGCAGAAAACAATGAATGAACGTATGGTGATTGTCATGGCAACAATTATATTTTAGGTGTTACGTAAAGTAAAAAATAAACATTTTGCTGTCAACGCAAATATTTGGTTTATAAATTAAGTTAAGTTAGATTTCGGATTGTGAAATTATTTTGCGCGCTTTTCTTACAAAAAATAGTAACGATCTAAGCATTTACGATTAGAAGATACTGATGAAATATGTATCGATATCGTAAAGTGCTTAAGTTGTAGTAATTGATGGAGACTGAGTAGGCAATTTGATAATGTGAGAATCAAGTGTATTCGAACCCAATTTCGAGAGGATAGTTCCAAAAACTCGCTTTATTTTTCCATAGGTTGTTTGAAGATCCAAGAAGAACATAGCTTTGCGCTCGCGATCAAAGGGTAATGTTGACTGGAGTAACTTTATTTACATATCATTTCCAATTGACTTTATATGCAAATCGCAATGAGAATTACATAAACACGACGCACACGCAACAACACTGAATTGGTTTGGATTTATGCAGAGACAAGCATAAAAACAAATTTGAAGTTTACCTTCGTATGGAAGCATGTAGTCCGTCATTGAGTTGTCTTAGCTTTTGATTTGTGATCACTATATTTAGTCCATGTCCAGATGAATGGACGGATGGAACCTCTTCTCTCCTCTTTCTGCTACCACAAAGAGAGTTCAAAGTTTACGTGTTCACTACACAGCACATCAGAGAAAACTGAAGATACTCCTATATTATATATAGATTTTTATAAACGCGTTATCTGCTTTTATCTAATACCGATGCGAGACCGTCCCATCTTGCTTCAGCACGTGCGACTCTCACTCCCGATTTCACTATACTAGTTCGATTCCTCTACGTTCTTTACTAAATATAAGTATTGTAGTTGTGGTGGACACAACCAAATGTAAATTTAAATTTTTATTTACATCCCACGCTCACAATATCCGCGCGTTTCCTATGTCTCTATACCAATTAAGATACAATTATTATCGATGGAATGTCTTTTATAGGAGTTTGCTAACTCTATTTTGAAGTGGATGAACTTCAATACTGAAAGGATCATCGTCATGCAAATGGGGTTCATCCATACATCGGCTGCTTCCAAGAATACTAATTTCGCGTAATCCAAATACAAAGACCGAAAGTCTAATGACGCGCATTCAAATGTAGCCGAAACAATGGCAAATATTTGCACTGGATATAATCACTGTTATCTTTAATCTTCACAAACTAAATAACTTACAAACTACGACTTCTGTAGCAACAAGTTCATCGTGAATGAACTTTCTTTGAGATATGCATATTTAAATAAATACAGTAATGATATTTTACCCTGGAATTTGTATTCTTACTCTATGTAATAAAGTAAGCCTAAATTTACTACTACTAAAACTAATAAAAAAATATAGTATGTAACAGGGGTCGGCTACCTTTTTGGTGCAAGAACCATTTGCCTGTTATTATTAGTGTAATACATGTATTCTTTCAAATTTACAATATGTTCTTGGATCTAATTTTGTTTAGCAAATAGAAATATATTTTTTTCCAGATTTGCTTAATCAGAATATTTTAAAGTAAGTATAAAAAGAAATGTGAATAATCCAGAAACGATTTATTACTCATAAAAAGTAAATAGATTTCTCGTGTTATAAATTACTTTGCTTGAAAAGATAAACCAGGAAAGTAGTCATAATACGTAATTAAAAAAAGAGACTATTTAAAAGGTGCATTGAAACTGAAACAAAAGAATTGATAACAAAACGACTAGACGAAACGATTAGAACTATTTACCAATTAAAGACAAATTATGATTGAAAACCAAAAAAAATATATATGCAGTGTTTCTAAAACCTTACTTAATGTTGACCAATGATTATTTTTTAATTCCACGCACGTGGATGATTTCACGTGTATGATGGTTAAAAATAATTTGAGAAATAGCCAAATCACAATTGCGAAGAAGCCAAACTTGCGGAAAATTGCTTAATCTGGCTTTAAATTATGGGCACGCAAGGGATTTGACCTTGTTGGACGTAATTGAATGGCACATGTAGGAAGGAATGCATTGAAACCTCGTTAAGGAATTACAGTTTTATTTAAATAATAAACGTGAATTTTTTTAAGAATTGCAATATTTCATTCGAAAATCTTATTATTTGTTTAAATATGATATTGTAATTTTGCATTCTGAATCGTACACTATTTGCTGGAGGAATCTGTGGCTGGTTTTGATGTCGCGCCACGCCTCCTTTTGTTTAACGGATTCCTAGGATCGTATATCTCGAACCAATCGTCGTCTTTCGTGTTGGCATCTTTAGCCAATACCGGCTCGACCTCCTCACAACGCAATTTATGAACGAAGCTGAAACAAAGCGGATAAACATACGTAGCGCAAATTGAATGATCAATGACCTAAAAAGTTCATTCAATCATCACACACAAAAAAAACTTTAAATAACTATCTCGCATAAGTAAATATTTAACACGGATAGACTAGACACGATAGCTTACCAATTCTTATCCTTCTCGACGTCGTCTACCTCTTGCTCCGCCTTTTCTGCTTGTTCCTTTTCCTCCTCCTCTTCCTGCTTAGATTCTTTTGTAGCGCGCAGTTTATTCCTGAACTTCGACAGCAAGTTCAAAGTGAATTCTTCATTATTCACACCCTTCCTTGGAATTTCGCTCTTTTTACTTTTATACATACCCAGTAAATCATTGTATTCTTTAAACCCAGCAGCCTCTTTGCTCTTCTGCTCCTCTTCTGTCTTTTCTTCCTCGTCCTTCTTCCTTAACTTGTTCTTGTGGTAATCCCGTTTGACAGATTCAATTTCTTTCTTAATCTCATCGCTTCAATAAACAAAAACCAATTAGACAATTCATCAGTTAATTAGATATAGAACACCTACTATTTCTTCTTCTTCTCATCGACGTGTTCATCATCCCAATCATCTCGCGCAGAAATATCCACAATGGGTTTCCTCTTCTTAACAGCTTTACCGGTCTTCAGCTTATTCCTAATACTCTCCAAGCGTCTGGCACGCTCTTCCGGATCATCGGAATCCTCATCTTCATCATTCTCATCATCTTTCTTAGCTACAGTTTTCTCAGCCTCGGCCTTTTTGGATGAATCGTCGGTCACCGTTTCCGAACTCAACTTGGGATCATCTAAATGTTTTGAAAAAGAGAAAAAAAAAAAGAAATTAATAATCCTCTCATGAACTAAAACTCAATACCTAATACATCGTGTGTCGATTTGCCTTTCCCGGAGAACTTTTCATTGACCCTACTGGTCTCCTCCTCATCCTCCTCAGCTTCAGCCCCAAACGATAGTAACTTGAAGTTCTTCACACCGGGCGTTCTAACTTTCTTTTTCTTCTTCTCCTTCGTCGCTGATTCAAGGATCCTAGGTTCTATGTCAGTAAAGGGATTGTTCAGAACCTCAGTCTTAATTATCTTGTAAGGATAAGCTGGTCTTTCATCTTCAATCAAACCCTCCTCAAGCTTCAGCATGTTGAAGACAGTCTCTCCAGTAACCTTTCCAAATATTGTGTGTTTGTTTTGCAGCTCTGGAGTTGCAGCCAATGTGAAAAAGAACTGAGATGCATTGTCATCAGGTCCTGCATTGGCCATAGCCAAAAGACCTCTTCTTGCAAATCTACAAATTGAACAATTTATCAAATGAAAAATGAATATATACAAAAAAAAACTCATTACCTAAGCCTTTGATGGAATTCATCTTTGAATGTGCCACCATATATTGATTCACCTCCAGTACCATCTCCATTTGGATCACCCCCCTGTGCGATGAAACCTTTAACAATTCTGTGGAATATTGTGCCATTGTAGTAACCTTCTAAGCATAATTGAATGAAGTTTCTGCATGTTTTTGGGGCTTCCTTTGTCCACAATTCCACATCTATATCACCAACAGTAGTTTTCAACAACACCTGCAGAAGATGAGATTTTATTATTAACAGCAGGTCTATTTTATGATTGCAATTGATTTACCTTCCCACTGGTTGGAGGTTCCAAAATATACACATTACTCATAATTAGGTGTTTGTGTTTCTCGTATTATTTATTTATATATAACATTTGTTTTAAGACTAAATTTCTAGGTTAGTTGTCAAACAGTATTACATTTTTTTAATAGATGTCCTATAGGAAAAGACGTTAACAAAAAATTTGAATAATTTCGAAATCAATTCATATTACAATTGATTGCAAAGACTGAAATGAACAAAAGCGTTTAAAAATGTTTAATTAGTTATTAGTATTAAAGAAATAATGGTTTAATTGGGTTTTATCTTGGAACTGGTAAATATATTTTCATGAAAACTTTCAGGATATTATAAGTATTGTCAGATGACTTCTAGAGAAATGATCTATATATATATTAATAGAAAATCTAATAAGACTGATGCAGTATTTAATGTTTTTTTATGAAAATTTCATGATTTTCAAACTGAAAATAATGTAGATGACCAGATGTACAGATTGAGCGGGGGCGCTGCGTATTGGATTGAGGCAGTGGTGCCACCATGGCGACATCATATTATTTGGCTCGGTATTGTTGGCAGTAGTTGTACAAATTCTTCAGTGGCGAGAAATAATAAGAACCCCTCCCGGCTTTTGGTGTTAAATAAGTGAGGAAACCGCCAGCGTGAGTAACCTCTCTATTATATTACTAATATTAACCCCGAATAAGAGTTTAAGCTCATTTTTTGGGGGCGGCGCGGGTGCGTTTCGAGACCCACGGACGTGCAATATTTTCGCACGCCGAATAAAATTTGACGTTAACATTTTGTGTAATAATGGTCGATGTCAGTGTGCGATATGCAAGCATCCTGAGTTTTTGAGGCACGTCCGATAAAAATACGATGCCTCTACCATTCCAATCCTCATCCATCCAACAATCTGCACGAACGCAGCAAACGCACCCTTGCATAGAATGCGTTTATTTATAGACGGATTCTACATATATTTTTCGAGCCTGTCGTCTTGTTTCGTTCTTCTTCTTTTTTTTTAATCGTCTCTCATTTTCCTGTTGCCTTCTCGATTCTCATTGCGCGTCTTCTGTCTTTGGCTCATCCTAACGGGACTTGCCTTATCGGTAAAACACTCCTTTTCGAAACCGCATTAACCAATTTCAGATAATTACGAAAACCTGATTCTCCTTGACTCGCAAATCGATGCAAGTCAAGTGGAAAGTCGGCTATTTCAAATTTCGACCGTTACAATTTCTTGATACATATATATAGATATAACGCTTCGTTACAGATACAGTGTGCAAAACCTGAAAACTCTGACATACTTACCTAATTATTAACATTTTTTAATTACTAAGCTAATTAATTTCCAAACTTTGGACCCCGCCTCAATTAGATTTTATTTTTAATTTTTATAATTAGACCATTAGTCACACTCCTCGGATATAATCATCCGGATTAAGATTTTTATCAAACACCTCATCACTATTATTTTTTTCAAAATGATCAATTGTTTTATTTTTATTATTGTTTAGCAATCAAAATCCAAAAATGGCGGTGAACGTGTATTCCACAAACGTAACAACTGAGAACCTTTCTCGGCATGACATGCTGGCTTGGGTCAATGACTGCTTATCTAGCAGCTTCGGCAAGATTGAAGAGCTGTGCACTGGGGCAGCCTACTGTCAATTCATGGACATGCTCTTCCCGAACTCCGTCCCATTGAAGAGGGTCAAGTTCAAGACCAACTTGGAGCATGAGTACATCCAGAATTTCAAAATCCTGCAGGCAGGTTTTAAGAAAATGACTGTAGATAAGGTGAGAACCAACAACCCTGAATACCATATTTGACAACTTGTTTTTGTTCCAATCGGATTCATTTAAATACAATTAAAATGCTCATTTGTAATCACAGGAAGCTACAAGTATAGTAAATGAAATAGGAAAGGAAGTGTACTTTATTTATATTATTTATTTTTTCTGTGGTTTATCACAAAAAGTTTTTTTTTATTATTTTGTTTTTTATTTCATTTACTTACACATCCTTTTTGTTTTCTTGATAATAAGAAATGACTCAGGTTATAACAAGTCTCTATTATTGAATGTCATTGTTTTCAATGTTAATTTGTTATTTCATTGGTAACTTGTTGTAATCTGGAGTTCCTGTGAAAAAGTTTGCTTGTGTGCAGAAGAACAATGTAACTGATATGATTTCTGATTGGTGCGTTTGCGAAGGTAATTCCTGTAGATAAGTTAATAAAGGGACGATTCCAAGACAACTTTGAGTTCTTGCAATGGTTCAAGAAGTTTTTTGACGCCAACTACGACGGTTCGGGGTATGACGCCCTGGAGGCGCGGGGTGGCATATCGATTGGGTCTGGCGCCAACGACCACCACCATCACCACGGAGGTGGAGGTCTTGTCGCCAAGCAGCCTCCCGCTCACCTCAGCAGACAGGGTAACGGTCACGGTGTACGAAGGCCAGGTAATACAACACACTATTCGGGGGCGGCGATGCGACCACCCCCCAATCATACATCGACAAGCTTCGTCTCTTTGTGGGGTGGTTTTTTTTTCACATTGTTTTTTATATTTATATATATATATATCTACACACACAAAAAAAAACACGCCAAAAGCGCCAAAACTTTTTTACTTTTCGGTTGAGGTTTCGCTTAACTCTTTTATAAAATCCTATTCACGAATCATAACTTCTTTCGTTACTAATTCCGCTACCAATCTCTACGACATTTTATATCAAACAATTACGGTGTGGAAACAAAAGGTATTTATTGCTGAATTTACTTATTTTTATTTTCCAAAAGAAACGCTTTATTATTAACAAATCGCCAATAATTTTGAATCATTTCTTTGTACATTTAATTCCCCGTTTTCGCATACACTAATTTCAAGCATTAATAGAAACAACAAAAATATCTGTATACGTTCCCACGAAATATGCTGTGTTACCATGAAAAATTCAACGTAAAAAGAGTTGCGTTATTTTCAAGGTATAAATCAATTTTCGAGCCTTGAACTTCAACGCGACATGAGGCAACATTTGCTTTACAACAAAACACTCATTGAGTTATAATATCCAATCGATTATCTTTTTGAATAGAATATGTTTTTTTTTTAATAATTAGATATATACATTTAAATCATAATAGTTGATTAAGCTATTTAAATTTAAAAATATGATTAATGTTGGATTAACCGCTATTTCGTATAGACTTCGTTTTTTGGGTTAAATATTACATTTTGTAATCAAAAGAAAACACCGTTATCACATGAACGTACTTTTTATTCAGCCCGAGCATACGTAATTAAAACTTGGGAGTTTCCTTTTTCGTGGTATAAACTGTTGTTTTATGGTAATAAACTGATTAAAAAAAAGACTAAGTAAAAAGAGTAATGAACAGTTACGGTTATGAACCGAAAACTTAACCGTGTGGAAAAAAAAATTGGTGATAGAATGACTTTCTTTTTAAATACTTTGTAAACATTAACGGTATACACATTTTTCGTTGATTAAACTCTATTAAGGTAATTGAACTCGCGATTGATGATCGAGTTTAATTGTTGAAATAGAGAAAGTGAAGACACAAATCTGTAAACTTTTTCGATGAATAAAACATTGATTAAACATAATTTAGGTATTACAGATGTGAAGAAGGATAAATACTAATAAATGTTTCTGTTTAGTAAAACGTCTATGTAACTAATTGTAATAATATTCTTATTGATGAATTTATCTAATTATAGTAATTGATAGAGGAGTAGAGAGAGAAGCGAAGCAGGGATTATTAACGAAACTTCAAAATTTGATAGATATTCATTTGAAAACTGCGCGCATCCACGACATCGAGTGTTGTATTACCATTTGTCTTGTAACATGCCAAGTTTAGTTTGCGTATAGTTATAATTAATACCTAAAGCACACACTGTCTCTCGATAAGTGCATTTGTAGTGGATGGGCACACGAAACCATGAGCTTAGCGTCGTTCCATATATTGCTGGTTCTTGACTGTTTCTTCCACCCTCCATCAAAATAATTAAGAAAGATAATGAGATTAGAAAAAAAGAAAAGTGTATACACCACATTGTTCCGCTACCATTTTTATTACAGTTTTATTTTTTGATTGTTTTCTTTTGTTGTTTATATTTTGTTGTTGATTTTTTTTCTGATTATTGACTATTGTTCTGTATCTTGTCTGGTTTTATGCACGTGTTTTGTCTGTCTGCTTGCTGTGTAGATAGTGCCGATAGACAGGCTGGTTAAGGGCAGGTTCCAGGACAACTTTGAGTTCCTGCAGTGGTTCAAGAAATTTTTCGATGCTAACTACCGCGGAACCGAGTACAACGCACTGGATATGCGCGGTGGAGAACCCATGGGTTGTGGTGGGTCTGGCGCCCCCCGTGGGGGTACCATGATGACCCGAAAAGCACCCGCGTCCACTTCACCTGCTAAAAAGGCAATGGGCATGAGCAAAGCTAGTATGTTTCCTCCTATTTTTTTAATTTATTTATTTCTCTTATGTTACCTTTTATTTATTTTTACTTTTCTCAATGATATATATATATATTTGCTTCACCTAACGCACCTAACACATTATGCCTCGACCGAGAAAAAAAAAACTTTGGGATGGATCAGATCATTTTAAGCTCTCTGGTTTTATTGTTGCCTCTGTAAATAATCTTGTCCAATCACCCATAGTATATAGCATAATTTGTTATGTAAGTATTATAGGTAATTATGAGTCAAAATGCTTGTAAGTAATCACATGCAGATTTTTGCATTTTTTTTTTATTAAAGCAAGTGAACATGTTTCGCATGCCCGAATTCATTTTATATTTCTCTCGATTCATCATCAGAAATAGTAGTTTATTCATTTTATTACGCTTCCATCACAATTAGTACGTATTTCGTGAACTATATTGTACTTCCATGTTTTTAGTGCCTACAAAAGTGAACGCAGTTCGACCAACCCCAGTCAGTAAGCAAGCTTCGGTGGGTAGTCGAGGAGACACCGGAAAAGTAGATGAACTCAACAATACGGTAGTCGAGTTGAAGGTGAGTTGTATTTGCCCCCACATCTCAACCTGTCAGTTTCTTAAGTCAACCATATTTGCTGTTTAGGTGACCATCGAAGGTTTAGAGAAGGAACGGGACTTCTACTTTGGCAAGCTGAGAGATATCGAAGTCATGTGCCAAGAGAACGAGGAGGGAAATCCCATCATCCAGAAGATCCTAGATGTTTTATACGCAACAGAGGTTTGTGAGCCTGTCGATCATCAAAAGAATCACTCAAATTAAGATTGAAAACACTGCTTTGCAGGACGGTTTCGCGCCACCCGATGAAGGTGAAGGTGTTCCTGGTGAAGAGGATGAGTATTAAAAAAAGAATGATATAAAAAGAGTGCATCAAACAAAGCCGTTCAAAATTTTGTGACAAGTATACACCACTACATATTATCCTCTTAATATTTCTTCTCTTATTTTTTTTTTCTCCGTCATTCATTTATTTTGATACTATAGGGTTTTATTTATACGCGTTTTATTAAACACCAAAATGAACTGTTAATGATTTGATTGTTTAATAATACTGTGAGATTTATATTCGTGGAAAGAAAAATTATTTTGTAACCGTTGCGAAACCATCCTTTTTCTTTCATATTTTTTTTTGTTGTTTTAAATTAACTATAAGTATGTCTATGTGCTTCTGAGCAGAAATTAATCAGCGCAATACTTCGACAGAAAATAATAATGATAATCATCATCATAATAATAATAATGGCAATGTTTTTCATTTTTTTACATATATAATATATTTATATATTTTCAATCAAATCCTTTTAGGTTTATAAGTTTCATTGCAATCGGTTTCTTTTTTCTGTGTTGAATGTTTGCAAACAAAATTTAATAAATAATGATTTTATTAAAAACAAAATGGACAAAAAAAAAATCGAAAATATTCGACACGACTTTCTGCTTTTGTTGGTGCATGTCGGAAGCATCGCGTTGTTTGCGCTTTTCTTTTTGAAGCGATAATAAAAGGAACTGTTTAAAATGGAATTGGCATCTTTTCTTGATCATCCTGAGAAAACTGAATCACAAAGAACAATTTTCGTTCGATTCTGGGAATCCTGTTTTATCTAACGATGAGTGATCTTTGTGATTCATCGAACAGGTGTGTCTTATTGAAGGAATGCTGGTTGCCTAGGATATTGATGGTTAAACAAAATTACTGCGATTCTTTTTACCAAAAGGATCGTATTAATTACGTACGATTTTTACAGTGTATTTCTCGTTATGCTTATTCATATTGTCATTAAAAAGATGTTGCCTTTTATTTAATATTTCTCACATTTGTTTTTATTTATCTCATCCCTGCACATTTCCTATACAACAATCATAAGATTATTTAATTAAAGATCTCGTTAATTTTGCATAGAAGAACTGAACCTTGCACAACAAACAATTACTTAATACATTCTATTACATGATATTTGTAGTTTTGTTTTTCAGAAAGAAATTGTTTAAAACAAATGCAATAAAATTTATTCGGGTTTAAGAAAATCACGATTTATATGAATTTCAGAATTAGCTAATAGAAATATTGGTATTGTGCGGAAATAAGTCTCTTCTTTTGACTATGATGTTTTTTTTTGTGATGATCTTACGATGGTTTATCAGATTGTGAAAAAATATCAATTACTTGGAGTTGTTTTCATATAGATAGTGAGTGAAAATCAGTTATATTGATTGGACGGAATTAGTTATCTAAGTTATCTGTGTACTTGTAGACTTACATCTATCAAATTAATGCATAGTGCTTATTTATTGTTTGATGTGCAATAACATGGCGAGCGGGTCTCGAGCGCGTCCTTTGTCCGAGCAGATTTGCTTGAAAGACTTGTCGAAGGACAAGTTGCCAAGGACGAGAAGTCTACATCATTCTGAAAAGAGAACAATCTACGCGAAAAGGTAATTCGGAATTTGCTTTGAAATGAACACATTATCAATATATTTAATGTAGAAATGAATCACTGGGAGCTATGGATGAGTTGCTGCAATGCCACCTGTGCTTGGATCGTCTGGTGGATCCTAAGATGCTGCCATGCCAGCACACCTTCTGTTTGGAATGCTTGAGAACGTTGGTGGGAAATCAGGTTGATGCAAGCTTCGATTGTCCCTCCTGCAAAGTTACTGTACAACTGACTCAACCTTTGGAGAACCTTCCCAACAACGTATACGTAATGTCCATCCTCAGCATCGTCGAATCCGAAAGTTCTGAGGTTCCTCTAGCGCTGACGACGAAGTGCGTAAAGTGCACCACGGTCACGCAATCCTATCATCAGTGCTGCGTACACTGCAAGCTTATCTTCTGCATGGTTTGCATGTCTAAGCACGCGTCTGAGTTGGAGCAGAAGTTTCCTGGCTTCCTGGATCAACTTAAGGATTCCGAGGAGAGGCTGTTGCACAAGAACGAGGATTTGGAGAGACGCACCGTCCAGTTGAATGAGTCGGTGCGTGTCGGTACAGAATCGAAGATCGCTGAGTTGCGGAGGTTAGAGATTAAGGTTCTTAGGGAAATAGAGGAGTTGAATACTGATGCCAAAGACACGTCGTCTATGCTGAGGGAAAAGATCGGGGAATTGAGGGTGGAGATTGGATCGAAACCATCGAATTCGAACGATTCTGAAAAGGTAATTCATAAGTTCGTGCGTATGAATTTGTGAATATCACTAAACTTGTGTAATAGATTTATGATGTAATTAAATATTGGTGCATTATTTTACAGGTGAAAATGTACATGCATTTCCACAATGAAATATCGCAATTGTTGGATGAGGTTTCTCGTTTCGGTGAGACTCACGCCATCTTCGATGCGAACACGTTCAAATTGGACGAGGAGAGCGAAGATGTTGTGGATGGAAACAAATACGTTGGTAATGCGTTGGATTCGAATGTCAATTTGGGTTTGCATTACAAGAGGCGCGTCTTCCAACCGAAATTTATTTGGACGAAATGCCCGAAGCCGGCTGGAATCGCTATCTCCCCGTGGGCTCAGGAGCTAGTATACATAGCGACCACAGATTCCCAGGAGGTTTTCATCTTGAATAAAGCTACGCTTAAAGTGGTAGGAAGGTTGACGCACGAGGAAATGCTGTGCCCGTGGGCTGTATGCTTCTGCGAGCAAAGAAGCGAGGTATTCGTGTCCGATAAGTACGGACACTGCGTTCACGTTTTCAGCAGTGATAATCAATATATGCGAACCATTCTCAGAAAAGGTAATAGCTTGAGCGAAGTGATGAGTCCACAGGGATTGGCAATTGATGGGAAAGGTCGCCTGATTGTTTGCGATTCCGGCAACGATAGGGTATTGATCTTGGATCCGGAGACAGGTGAACAGTTGGGAGCTATTGGGCCTATTGGGAATAAAACGGAGCTGAGTATTCCAAGCGATGTGGCCGTCAGTGGCTCCAAGATTATCATCGTGGACTCGGGTAACAACAGGGTGAAGATTTATGGAGAAGATGGAGAAAAGCTGAATGAGATCGGCAGTATGGGAGTTGAGAATGGGCAGTTCAGGGGTGCAGAGGTCGTCGCGGTCGGACCGCTCGGTTTCATACATGTCGGAGATGCTGGAAATCGGAGGATACAGATCTTCGATGAGGATGGAAACTTCGTTAGGAGCTTCATCGGAACCAACCCTAAGACAGGTAAATTTAAATGGGTTTCCGGTATCTGCGTCACCCCTGAGCTGGACATCATCGCCACAGACTACAGGAGCAAATGCCTTCTAATCTTTTAAACCATATAATAACTATACAACATTAATCGTTTGACAGTGATTAAACATAACGTACTAATAGTGAGAGATTAAAGAACCTTAGAACTTAAGGATTTTCCTTGTGGTAACAAAGCAATATTAATTCCAAATAGAAATCTCTGTTTTTTTTTTGTTTGAAATTGATATTTTTGAAAAATCATTATATTTGTAATAAAATAATTAAGCTCATTATAAATAAATTTGTTAAATTTAATTTGTTTCATTTTCTTTGAAGTTCTGATCCTCGTTTTTTTTTTTCGTAATTAATATTCATCCTTCGTACAGCACAAATTTCCGAAACGAAATTCGTGCACGAACAACTTTTAAGCGATCGACTCTTTCGCAATTTTCATTTCCACACATCCCTACCACTTCATCCTCCTCCTCTTCTTCTTCATCATCATCATTGATTAGTCCGACCAAAACCAGTTCTCTCCAATCGACGGCGCAGCATTAAAGATATGCTTAACAGTTAGCGAACTTTGCAAAATCGCAGAGCCATTTAGGAAACGTCTCATCTCGTTAATACGCATTGGCCCATTTTCATTTTATTTTTTGTACTTTTTTTTTTCAATTCGATCCGTTCTTATCGTCTTAAGTTCGTCGGTCTTATTTCGCACAATCGCAACGGCACATACCAAAATTGCCAGAGCCTCCGGCACTAGGTGAACAGATCTACGCTATCAATAGATTCATTAAACGAATTCCTAATTACTGTAGACTATTAATAAACACAAGTAGACACGACACACATTTTTGTGCACGAGACCCAAACCATATTTGTTACATTTTTTTTAATAATTAAGTTTTACCATTTAACTGTATTCAATAACATCCATTCAGGACAAACATTGCGTTATTTTTAGTTCAACTTTAAACAATCGCTATTTGAGATTAGATTGCGTTCAGTCAAATTACATATGTAAACAAATAATTTCATTTCCTACAATCATCATAAAAATTATTTTATTTTTACAATTTATGCTAGATTTATTATCATTTTCAAATAACTAATACTTCAATTAATTTATAAATATTCCTTGTTTCACTTTTGTTAATCAATATTATTATATAATTGGTTCATACTCTCTCCTTTTAAATTTATTATTATTATTCCCCTATTTCTGTCACCTCCACTCCAATGGATTTCTTTTTATTTAGTTAGAAAAGACAATTAAAAATAGGTTTTCAAATGCTTAAAATCTTTGTAATTTTCTTCACTTATTTATTCTTATTTATTTATTATTCTATCTTTTCCCATAACTGGATCTAGTAACTACTTTGATATTTAATTCGAATATTAAAAAGTAAACTATTGATTTACACTTTAAAGTTTCAATAGATTACGAGTATCGATTACAGGAAAAAAATGTAGATCCTATTTAATTGGGCTTTAGATATGAATAATCTTAGCATTTAGACTTTGTTCAGTTGGATTTTAAGTGCACTAACGATATTTATAAAGTAACTCTTTTAAGGCCAATTTAACGAACGATATATTTTTTGCGCAGGTTGCAAAAAAAAAAAAGATGTAATCCGTAATTAACAATTGCAAAAAAAGGCAACGAACGGTATTTCTGTTCTCTCCGTTAATTTATACTTGTAATTAGAGATACATTTGTTTATTGAGACGTTTTATTCAAGTTTAATTAAATATATATAAAAATCAAGTTTATGTTTGCGTTTCAATAAATGGATGCATTAATTTAATTATGCATTATATTTCTATTTGGAAATAGTCATTCAAATTACGTTTTTGATTTTGTAAGACTCTAAAAATTATGTATATAAAGAGAAGCAGTGATAATACGAGTTTGCGGCTTTCTTGGAATAACCACAAATTGGAATCGAAACGAGCTAAAACCGGACTACAAGTGGGCATTATATATATTGTGCTATTAGTATTGACCTTTTTTTTATTATTATTCGGTGAATATTAAAGTTTATTTTTTGTTGTTGTCGAGAAATGAATGAATAACGAACGTTGATAATAATTACAGAAATTAGGTCGAGTCACGAATATTTCGAATGGTTTTCTTACTTACTTCGTATTCCCTTTGCTTAAGTAGTTTCTCGTCACGTACGTCCATTGTTATTGGCATCTATAAGTAGAAACGCGTCTTTATATTATGATTTTTTTTTCGTGGTTCGAATCGTACGTATTTAATTCGTCGGACAATGGTAGAAAATTTAATAATAATTATAGTCAGCTTAACATTCTTGTAGAATTATAATTGCAATTTATCTTTTGGACAATTTCACTGCCGTATATTCAACAATGAATATACGGACAATGCAGTTTTGTAGAAAAAAACGAGAGATATTGCGAATAATTCATGAATGTGGCCGGACCTGGGTGTGCTTCTTGCATATATTGTTTTTTTTTTGTACAAATGATTGATATTCTTTGGACAATGTTACCAAAACTAATACGACGAATAAGTAATCAAATAGAAAACGAACTTGATTGGAGGCGAAAGGAGAAATCGGACGTGTTTAAACGATATGATTGTATTGTTCTTAACGAAATTCACTTGAAATTTTATAAAAAATAAAGTTTTATTAGTCTCCAGTTGGTCATCCATTCAGAAACAATCCATGAGACAAGCTGCTTAACTTTCGAAAGTGTTCTTAACGAAATTCAATTGAAATTTTTATAAAAATAAAGATTTTTTCTTCAGATCAATTCATTTTCTATAAAGATTTTTGACCCTTTTACGTTTGCAACGGTACTTAATTATTATTAATTTAATAATTATCAACCAAAACAAACTTATTTTCACTGTCATTAATTAGAACTTTTGTTTGTTCTACAACGATTTGACTCTTTATTTCATCATTAACAGGATATTTCCATGAATCAAGTAGAATTTTAGTTTTAAATTGACTTTCCATTTTATTATTACTTCGGTATTATTAATTTGATAATTATCAAAAAGGCTGTGAACGAAACAAACTTATTTTCACTGTCATTAATTATGATTCAGAACGACATATCTTGATTGTACAACGATTTGATATATTTCTTTCAGTATTAACAGGATATTTCCATGAATCAAGTAGAAGTTTTGTATTTATTATTGAATTAACTTTGTGTTTTATTATTACTATGATTATTAATTTTATAATTATCAAAAAGGCTTTGAATGAAACAAATTTATTGATTGTCATAAATTGTGACTTTTCGACTATGTTGTACAACGATTTGACTCTTTCTTTCGATATTAACAAGATATTTACATGAATCACATTATTAAATTAACTTTCTAACTTCTTATTACTTCCATATTATTTATTGATTGATTGTCATTAATTGTAACATTTAGAATACATTGGTTGAACAACGAATTTACTCTGCACATTTTTTTGTGATATTAGCAGTATATTCCCATCAATTAGGTAAGATTATTGTATTTATTAACAACAAAAATAACTTATTATAAAATACTACATAAATTAGCTAATATTAATACTAATCTAATAATTAATATTGAATGAATGATTGTAAAACTTCAAGAATGATTTTCGATTGACGATTGTTTTGTATAAATGTTGCTGTGATGTGGAAAAGTGAAGCTATGCTAATTCCTTTGAAAACAAAAGCGGGGAAAAAGGAAAAAAAAGAGACGATCTAGAAAGCGATCACGGAAAACAAAACTGTACGCATTTCGCATCGTTCCTCACCTTTTACTTTAGATTTCGATCTTGCATGCTTTTGCATTGAGTATCACAAATGCAATATACATTTAATTGATTGAATTCATTTAATAATACAATTAATTTCAAAGATATTATTTTAGTATACTTTAAAATTTAAATTAAGTAAGTTTAAAATACAAACTAACAATTATGATTATCCTTGCAATTATTATTACTTTTATAATATTAACTATTATATATTAAGTATTTAGTTTATAAACTGATGATTTCTTTAGTTTTTCAGAATGGATTTATTTCAAAATTGTATTAATTAATAAATCGAATTATTTTATTAATTATTGATTGTTTTATGTTTTAGAATTTGGAATGGAATGTGGTGTCAAGAATTGTTTGCGGAATATTGGTTGGGGGTCAGGAAGACGATTGGTATGGTAATTAAAATTGCGCTATTTGGGCAACGCCTATTGATTCCTTCGTACGTGGTCCTCGCCGCCGTCTTGGCAATGGAGGAAGTGGAGAAATTGGTAGCCGGAAATGGAGTTTGGTAATTTCTAACTTTCCATGTTGGACGGATCCGATCGGCGCTGTTTCGTGGGGGTCTCGCTCGTCCGTTCCATATACACCCATAACGTTGGGGTCGCAACGCGATCAGAATTCAGAATATCCTTTTTATATATTTTATCCGTCTTCGGTTTGCGGACTCGGTCAGTGGAGTAGAGAGTGAGTCCATGGGCAGCGGTCTTCAACTTTACTATACCACAAAAGACTGTTACTACTACAACAACTACCACCGCTTCATCGCACTCACTCGCACTTGCACGCGAATTCACGCAGCAACCAGACGAAGAGATCAAGAGGCCACCTCGTCAGGCAAAAACGTTCTTATCCACAACTTCTTCAACATCATCATCGTTCTTGTAATCGTCGTCTAGGAGACGGGAATAAACAATAGTTGGATCAAGTTACAGTCCAAGGAGGATAATTGAAAGTGCGCGATGTTCATACACCGATAGATTTCCGATGACGAAGTTCGTTACTTCCTCAGTGCAGTGACATTATCATTATCTGTGCACCCTCATCGACTCTAGAAAAAACAGTGACTGCTCTCAACTCATCACGGTCTAACTACTAATTAACGACGAAGCGTAAGTACTATTTAGAAGTTATGAGACCATAAACGATTCAAAATTCAAATTACACCCAAAAAAAAGAAATGTACTGATACCTACACGCAACAACTGTTCCCAGACAGAAGAAGCAGGATAAAACTGGAAATTTTACAGTTGCCATTTCTGTACACTCGCACTCATTTATACTTTTTTTGCGCAAACCTTGTTCGAGTTACGCGAAGACAAAACCCAAAAATTAAAACACGCTGTTTTTGATATTTCGTAACTACTTCTTCTCGTCGCATTCTCTCAATGGATTTGAATATTGTTGTATCATAATTACCGGATGCGCGTTTCATATGCAAAGATGATGTTTAATTGACCGTCTCGTGAAGTGTTATAAAAAGAAAAATCCAAGAATGAACAAACGCTGGTAAACATCTTTTTGGCTTCATTTTTTTTTAATATAAAATATCTTTTCAACTTTTCCAAATATTCTTAGTTTGTTCTAAGACAATTATTTTAACAATATTTGCAAAAAACACAGTAATAATGTACACTTTATCAATTATCCTTTTTGAAAATTGTAGAATTGAGACAAACATCTATATGCAGGTTATATCGTTAATAATGTTTGTTGAGAAAATTCACTTATAACATCTAATTTTTACTTTGAAGAATTTTCGCTTTTAATTTTCTATTTCCACTATTTAACTATATTGAAATTGTATTTGTATGAAACTACAGACCAAATTAGTAAACTAACTGTTCAAAAATATATGTGTTGCAATTCAAACGTGTTCCACAATTACAAATGACATTTTCCATTTCCTTTTTTGTATGTAATGAAATTATACGTTCATTGATTGCAACTCATTTAAATAATCGTCTAGTTTTTAACATTTTTGATTAAATACTAGATAATACTTCGCATAGTGCGGATAATATATTCCGCAATGTTTGATACCGGACTAATGGAGGACTTTAAAAATAAACATCACAAATCTAGACTTCATTGTATTGAATTAAAATTTTATATTGTTTTGATATTTTTAAATAAGCACTGATTGAAGACGCACTATCAACAATATATTTCCTTCATCTCAATTAAATTTCGAAAAACGTTTGATTAAATTAATTTATATTTAAATTTGAACTTATTGAATATGAATTTGGTACAAAAAGTTTTACAAAAGAATTATAAAATTAAACAAAAAAAAAAAATAACAGAAATAGTATAATTCAATAATCAATTGATTGTTCTACCTTAAGTTTACGTCGATTTGCAAAGTAATGTATGTTTTTTGTTTGCTAAATCAATTTCATCTCTCTAAGTTTATTAATGAAATCCTTAATTTATGGATGGAAATACTCAATAGTTAAAGAACGAAAAAAAAAGCTCATTTATTTTTTGCGATGCGTTGCATTTAAACGAGCCATTTTATTGCCTATAAAACCTAGTTGGAGTTACTAACTGTTCTCTTGGTTAATTGCTAAATATGCTTTTCATCACAAAGAAACAGAAAAAGTATATAGAAAAAAAGCACAGACAATATTATATCTATTAAAGCTAGAAAAGAGATGCTCGACATTCGAAACACTTTCGTTTCGTGAGAAGACCGGTCCAACGTCGTTAATTCGGTTAGTAAGGTAACTAAAACATAAAATAACGATTGAATGAATTGGGTGAATGCAATAATAAAGGTGTTTTGTTGTGCAGATTTTGTTTCGCCATTTTTTTTTGAAATGAAATAAAAAAGAAAACCAGGTTTTTGGGGGAGATGCGTTCGGTTTTTAACGTTCTCCGATGAGGATTTTGAGCTACTTTCAATAATTTTTATTGCCACTTTATGTTTTCGTTACACGACAATAACTGTAACAAACGATAAAATTTACTATTGCCTTGTGGAAATTGTAAATTGTTTATTAAAAGCGACTTCACTTATTTCTTTTTTTTGTTGTTCATATCAACATTTCATTTAGTTCAACCAATTTTTTTTATTGGAATTAATTGAATTTCATTCATCGTTATACAAATTTGATTATTATCAAATAACATTTATTCAATTACTATAGGTTAGTATAGAAAACTCACTGAAATGATGAAACGAAAGAGAAAATTCAAATGAAAAGATAAGTAAATTTAAAATTTAATTGAAAATTAAGTATGTAAATTAAATTTTGAAATGAAAACTTAAAAACTATAATTCAAATATTATTACTAAATATTAATAATAATATTAAACTAACAAGATCAAAAGACACATTAAGAAGAATTTAAAAGAAAACTAATTTTAAAATTGAACAGAACTCTGTAAAACTATACTTTATAAATATTGCATTTGATACGGAAAAGAAAAGTAAAGAGACAATTAAGAAACATTTAATACTAAAATTATCAAGTCGACTTGAATCAGAAAACTAAAGAATAAATTGAAGAAAAAAAGTAAAGAAAACTAAATATGAATCAGAAAATTAAAAGAAATATTAAGAAATACAACACAAATTATATCCATAAAATTGTATAAAATTTACACATTATCATCAATAAATATCATATTTGATATGGAAATGAAAATTAAGAGGAATTAAGTACTATGGATGGATGAAAGTGTGATATGAAAACAAATATCAGTTGGGTCACTCTGACCTATCCGTAGTACTTACGGGTTAAACAAAACAAGTAGAACTTTTGTATCTTCATAATTATTAATCAATATCATCATATATTTATGACAATATGAAATTGCTGACGTCCTAAATCATAAAACAAAAGCAATTGCAGCAATTAACGGACGTAAATTACAAAATCAACCAAATTACAAAAGGAAATAATCGCGTTGTTTCGTTGAGACCATGAAACAGGTTAATAAAAAAATCATATAAAATAATTATCATTGCACATTAAACGTTGCGTAAGTGGTGTTGTTAAATTAATAATTAAAAATAAATGAAACAATGTTTAAACGTATCATTATTTTTCTTGTAATAAACATAAAACTAGATTTGGAATTGTTTTAGAGTTTATTATTTAAATTTAGTTTTTCTTAGTAAAAACAATTAGTTTTACTTTTATGACAAAAAAGTTGGAAATAATTTCAGGTTTGAATTGAGATAAGCTAACCTCGTTTATTTAAAAGGAGACCTAGTAACTGAAACCTGTCTTTAGAGTTGGACTTGATTTAATTTGGGGTTGCAATGAGGAATTTGGTTAAGAAATAATGAGAAAACAATGTGTGCTGTAGTGATCGTTTTTTCTTTATTATTTTGCTTCTTGATCTGATGATTTAAAATTGAAGTGGAGAAAATGATGGATGGATGAAAAATCTCGATGTTTACAGTTAGTTTATGTTTTAATCCACATGTATGTAAATTGGACAACAGCTATTTAATTGCAGATAGACCGGATTCATTCGAAGGCATTCGCTTTTTATTTCGTACGGGCAAACGAAACTAGGTGGAGTCCATAAAACTTCAACCAGTTTCTGGGGGAATTACATAATAATAATCGCATCTGATGGCGCTGATATCATCATCGAATCTCGCTGATATCTTCAAATTTTTATGTATATAACCTGAAGAAATTGAGTCACAGTTGGCGAGGAAAGAGAAACAGCGTACAATAATTACATTAATATTGCATACAATGACGAATTCCATTTGGAACTACAAATCATTTAACACGCACAATGGGTGCATTTTGCATAACGACATCAATTTCGAAAATGTTGAGCCTCCCTCCAATGATGATGATAAATAACAAGAAATAAAATTCGTTTAGTTTCGAGATTGTCTTCGCACGAAACGGTTGATTTTCGACGACTTTATTTGACGTGAGTGATTATTATATTAATGATTGTTGTTGTTTCATTATGCTTCGTAATTAAAAAAAAAAAGAGGAAAAAAAAATATGTTTATAATTGCGACCTCGGTGTGTCCCAAATTTTTGGGGATTGCCAAAACAAATGGTTATTAAGAAAAAAAATGATCCGTTACGATGATTTGGTATTAATTTCGGGTGTTGCGACTCGGCTATAAACGAGGCGAGGTATTTGATGTAACCGAATGATTAATTCGCTAATTGCATTATATGACAAAACGTAATGTGATGGATAACTGTTGATGAGATGAGAAGAGATTTAGAGAAGTAGATTTGCGGATCATTTGCATAAATTAACTGTTAAATTCAAATGCCTTTTATGGTCAAAATATTGGAAGTTTACTTTAGTACAAAATTTGCATAAATTGTACATAAATCGTGTGACATAAGTTTCGATTAGGTAAAGTAATTTGGAAAATCCATTGAATTTATCCAATTAATTAACATTGTTAATAGAACTAAATGAAGTTTTTATTAGGTACAAATCAAATGTTATAATTAATTAAAGTTTTTTTTATATCTCTATTAACTAATAGCCAAATGGTTAAGTCGCCCTACCCACGATTCCGTGGGCGCCGGTTCGTATTCTGGTCAAGCCCTTTGTGAGCCCTCTCGGTGTTTGCAGCAATAGGGCCATCGTTCATATGGGCAGTCAATTGAATTGAAGCTCATTCATATGGACCTTCAGCCAAGTCGATGGACAATGTTCACATTGATAAACAGATTGTGAATAAAATTATACGACATTAAAAAAAATATCTCTATTATTTCTTTAAATGCTTTTCATTCATTGTTATTGACAGTGACAGATCTAGAACAATGTGATTTCTAAGGAATTTCTTAGGGATTTTTATGAAATTTCCAAGAGATTTCTATGCCTCAAAATTAAATGTTTATTTAGTTATATCATGGCTAGTTACAATACAGTATTATACATAGGATACAAAGGGTTTTTACAGTATAATGTTTCCGAGGCTCGAGAGCCAACATACAGAATACTCACGAGATAATACAGAGAACCTTACAGGCTAAAGCGGAAGAGAAGAGTAAAGAGGTCCGGTACATGATTCAAAAAATGCTTTATTATATTGCTAATACAGTTACAGTGGTAGTTGTTATAAGGGGGTGGCATATATGTGAGGTTGGGCTCATTTAG